CATGTGCTTAGGGTCACCTTCCCTGAGTGCCCTGTAAGTACTGCCCTTGGGGCTTGGGATTCTCTTCCCCAAGTCACCTTGGGTTTACCTCTGTTGGTCTTTTGCTGCTCGGCAATTGACCGCCTCGAGTGTTTTGAGGGGTTTCCACCATTGTCTACCTTGGGGTATCTTGAGGTTATCTTGAGATGATTTCGGGGCTTTAGTGTCCCCGCGGCCCGATCCTCGACCAGGCCTCCACCCCCAGGAAGCAGCCCGTGACAGCTGACTAACACCCAGGTACCTATTTTACTGCTAGGTAACAGGGGCATAGGGTGAAAGAAACTCTGCTTATTGTTTCTCGCCGGCGCCTGGGATTGAACCCGGGACCACAGGATCACAAGTCCAGCATGCTATCCGCTCAGCCGACTGGCTCCCAGTAAGTGATAGTTTTGCACTGGTAGGGGTGCGGAGTACTGCGCAGGTTCTGGCCCATGAGCCAGGTTCTGGCCCATGAGCCAGGTTCTGGCTCATGGTTCCCGGTAGGCCTAGAACTCTACCCACATCGACTGATGCCAAATTCTAAAGAGATACAAATCAGCCTGGATAGCTCCGGGGAGCCTCCGGGACTTACCTAGAAAATGGAGTTTCATTACATTCAACGCTGTTTTTTTTTTTTTTTTTTTTTTTTTTTTTTTTTTTTTTTTTTTTTTTTTTTTTTTTTTTTTTTTTTTTTTTTTTTTTTTTTTTTTTTTTTTTTTTTTTTTTAGATATATACAAGAGTTGTTACATTCTTGTACAGCCACTAGTACGCGTAGCGTTTCGGGCAAGTCCTTAATCCTATGGTCCCTGGAATACGATCCCCTGCAGCGAAGAATCGTTTTTTCATCCAAGTACACATTTTACTGTTGCGTTAAACAGAGGCTACAGTTAAGGAATTGCGCCCAGTAAATCCTCCCCGGCCAGGATACGAACCCATGACATAGCGCTCGCGGAACGCCAGGCGAGTGTCTTACCACTACACCACGGAGACTGCAACCACTACACCACGGAGACTTTCTTTCCATGAGGATGTTGCCATCTATCTTTCCATGAGGATGTTGCCATCTATCTTTCCATGAGGATGTTGCCATCTATCTTTCCATGAGGATGTTGCCATCTATCTTTCCATAAGGATGTTTTCATTTTGCTTTCCATGAGGATGTTTTCATTTTGCTTTCCATAAGGATGTTTCTATTTTTGCTTTTTATGATGTTTCCTTCTAGCTTCTCATGAGGATGTTCCCTTGCCCCCAATCTGATCATTTGATTTCTTGCTGGTGTTTTCCTCCATATGTAGCTATGTAACAGCTTTGACTGGTCCTTTGCTTTATCACTGTACCATTTTCAAATTGCTTTTATGCTACTCTCCTGAGTGATGTACTCATTTCTGTCTCTCTTTAGTACCTTCAAAAATTACTCCATACTGAACTTTACCTTGTTCATACCTTTCTCTTTTCTTTTCCCTGCATTTCCTAATAAACCAGGGGTTTGCTTTGCTTTTCTCATCAACCTCCTACCTGAGTGGGATAACCTTTTCCCTAGATGTGCATATTTCCAGACAGTGAACTGCATCATCTTATTTATCACCCTCCTAAGAACATAAAAATGAAGGTAACTGCAGAAGGTCTATTGACCCATACGAGGTAACTACTATTTATTTCTACCCAATCTCAGTCATATATATGTCAAAGCTCTGCATGAAACAATCAAGGGATCCTACTTCTATTATGTTACGCGACAATTGTTTCCACAAATCAACAACCCCGTTACCAAACCAGTATTTACCCAGATCTTTCCTAAATCTCCGTACTGTAGGGAAATGATAGGCCCATTAAAAACTGAGACAGGTCAGATAACAGATAATGACAAAGAGATGAGTAGTATTTTTAATAAATATTTTATCTCTGTATTTACTAAAGAGGAACTTAACATTATGCCTTCAACTAAACAAGTCTATGTGGGTGGGGAAGAGGACAGGTTGACTAGTTTAGCAGTCACCAAGGAGGATGTTATTTAACAAATAGTAAAACTCATCCCAAACAAATCCCCAGGACCGGATGAAGTGTTTGTCAGGGTGCTTAAAAAATGCAAAGAGGAGCTTTGTGAGCCACTGTCTACCATATTTAATAAATCAATAGAGTCAGGCAGAGTGCCAGTCATGGAAGGTTGCTAATGTAGTACCAATTTTTAAGAAATTAGATTGATCACGTGCGTCAAACTATTGCCCAATTAGCCTAATGTCTATTGTGGGAAAGTTACTTGAATTGATAATTGCAAATATAATTTGTCTTCATCTTGAAAAATGTAAATTAATAAATGATTCACTACGTGGTTTTACAAATGGGCATTCATGTATAACAAATTTGTTATCATTTTATTCCAGCATAATTGAGGCAGTTGATAGTGGTAAGGATTGTGATGTTGTGTACCTTGACTTTAGCAAAGCTTTTGATACAGTGCCACATGAAAGACTGATTAAAAAAGATACAGGCTTATGGTATTGGGGGTTCTATATTAAGTTGGATTAGGGCATGACTATACCAAATGAAACACAGACTTAGTATAAATGGGGTTAAGTCAGAGTGGGAAAATGTTGTAAGTGGAGTGCCTCAAGGCTCTGTCCTGGACCTCTGTTATTTATAATATATATACATGATTTAGATTCAGGTTTGAGTAGCAATATTTGCAAGTTTGCCAATGATACAAAAATCAGGAGGGGGGGAAATAAACACGGAAAGAGACTCACTATCACTTCAAGTCGATCTAAATAGGGTTTTCAAATGGTCAAAAGATTGGCAGATGCAGTTTAATGCTGATAAATGTAAGGTTTTGAGGGTAGGTAATGATGATAAAGAGTTACAAGATACGAGCTAGATGGTGTTGAGATTGCAAAGTCGGATTGCGAAAGGAATCTGGAAGTTATTATTAGTAAGAATTTAAAACAAAAAAATCAATGCATAAATGTTCGTAATAAGGCTAATAGGACACTGGGATTTATTAATCAAAGCGTTACTGATAAGACACCTGGTGTTATTCTTCACCTATATCTTGCCCTGGTTAGGCCCCATTTAGATTATGCAGTTCAGTTTTGGTCGCCATACTATAGAATGGATATAAATTCACTAGAACGCCTCCGTTATAGGATGACAAAGTTAATCCCTCAAGTTTGAAATCTGTCATATGAAGAAAGATTGACAAAGCTTAAATTACATTCTCTAGAAAGGCGAAAAACTAGGGGTGACATGATAGTTTTACAATTGGATGAATGGGCATAACAAAGGGATATTAATAGGGTATTAAAAGTATAAACACAAGACAGAACACAAAACAATGGGTACAAATTGGATAAGTGATATGTGATAAAAGACATAGTCCCTGTGCCTTTTTTCACCAACTTCAAGGTCAACTCCAGAGCTCACAGTTCCTGCGACAGCGCTGAAACCAATTGTACTGGCGTTTGCCTTTCCATTGGAGACTTTTGGTGCTGTGGAGAGGGGGAGGCCTGCTGCATGTGGTAACAGCTTCTCTGTATCAAGCTACCCTGGCTTTGCGCCCTGGAGTGGCCATTCCAGACCGACAACCAGAGCGCGACTCCATAGACTCCTGAGACTGATGGATGCCTACTATACAATCTCACTTAGAATACTGTTTTGGACTAGCCTCTACTTTCAAAGCAGGGACAGATATTTGAAGTAGAAGGGATACATAGAACATATACTACATATAAAGAAGTAAAAGGCCAAATTAAAGTGATTAACACAAAGAACTCACAATATGGATAGTAGACTAGAGAACTAAAATAAATATATACATAAATTGGTGAAGAGTGATAACCAAAAGGTAGGTCCACAATCTTTACAATTTATTTATTTATTTATTTTATTTTTTATTTATATGTATTGTACAAGAGGTCTTACATTCTTGTACAGCCACTAGCACACATAGCATTTCGGGCAAGTCCTTAATCCAAATTTTTACATACACACATCCCCCAGAAAGCAGCCTGTAGTAGCTGTTTAACTCCCAGGTACCTATTTACTGCTAGGTGAACAAGGGCATCAGTGTGAAAGAAACTGCCCATTTGTTTCTGCCTTCGCTGGGGATCAAATCTGGACCCTTAGGACTACGAATCCCAAGCACTGTCCACTCAGCCGTCAGGCCCCAATAAATTAAATAACTTACTGGAACAAATCATATGATAGGAAATCTGCAATAGATCTAGTGAAGAATTATTGTTATAGGAACAATCACAGAACATTGTATGAACATCAAAGGTCTACCTCTTCAATCTTCTTCCAGCAAATATAGGAAACACTACAGAATCAAGGTTGAAATTTTCAAGTGTGGTTTGGACAAGTTACTACAGAAAACCATATTAGCCAGGTTGTGATGGAGCACAGCCTTACTGCTTAAGTTACCTTTTCACCAAAAAAACCCTGGCCCATGAACAAGCTGAAGAAATAAAAGAACTCTTGAAATTGGTCACAAATAGACTTCTCCAGTATTCATACTCTGGACCGGGTTAGGTCTGTGAACTCTTGGGTGCTTCTGCCTGATGGTGAATGGAAGGTTGAGCCAGACAACCTAGATGGTACTGTAGTTGGTGAGAGCTCTCATTCAAAGGCCATCTTTAATCACAAGAGAAAGCTATGAAGAGCTTTAATTTTTTATGGAAAGGCCATTCAATGATCATTACTGGGTTGGAATGTTCATTTTTTAGTAACACAATCCATGTCCAAATACATAGTGCGATCTTACTTGAAGCAGCAGCCAAATAGATGAGCTCAGAAAGGAAACTATGGGCAATATATGTCTGCCAAATCTTCTCAAACTGAATAGCTTCAATGCATATCTTAAAATATTATATCATGTGTTAAACAATCTTATTTTTTATGCATTTGTCCAGATATATTGATATAAAAGTAAACACACAAAATAACCATCACCATAAATCATAATTTTGTAACAATGACTTTAAAACAGGTGGGCATGACAGATGACTGCAAAGATGTCAATGAGTGTGCCCTCAACCCCAACATCTGTAAGAGCGGTCGTTGCATCAACACTAAGGGCTCCTACAGATGCGAGTGCTATGAAGGGTTTGTACCCAGCAGAGATGGAAAGCAATGCATTGATCGACGTGAGGGATTCTGCTTCAGGCAGCTTATCGGTGGTATGTGCTCGACCACAAGTGACAGCCTGGTAAAGGTAAGACTGACATTCATTTGGAGAATGTGAATATATAATAATATTATAATTATAATTATTATATTATTATAATAATTATTATAATAATGATTATTGTAATAATTATTATAATTATAATAATAATTTTGTTTTTATTTTCATTGAACTATGTTGCAGAATTCAAATTAATAGGAGCCTACATTAACTTTTGTGCGAGGAGTGGATCAGTAGATCCCCAAGCTGAGCCCTGGTACCACTCAGCTTTAGCCCAAAGTAGCACAGCTCTTGAGACAACACTCCCACAGATCAGCAAAGTAGTTAGTTGCAAGATTCTTCCTTTGAGGTGTATAAAAACAGGTTTACTTGTAATATAGGTGTGCAAATTATATTGTAGGCCCATGTACAGTATTCAGTCACTGTACATCTCTTGAGGGACCGAACAGAAGCTGGTTCACTGAAGTAGCTCCAAACACAAGTCACATCAAAGAGTACTGGGAAGATAGGACACCACTAGTATAAACTCATCTTGTAACTACACTTATTTAGTTATATCAGCCCTAGGAGGCTGCAATGCCTACTGGAGACCAGAGCCAGAATCTGACCTCATCATCACAGGTGCGCAGGGAGAAGGGGATTGTTACAAACACCCTCACCAAGGAAACATCCATAAGTAAGTGAAACAAAACAGACAATTTCAAGGTTCATGGAGAAAAAAGAAACAAGCCACCCTGGGTTGCTCACTCAGTATTGATGCCGTCACACCCAGAAATGGTGTTTATGCATTTTTTCTTAAGATGCCATCTGTTTACTGGAGGTCTGAGAAAGCAGATGTGAGCCTCATGTACCTGCGGGATTTTTTAAATCTTTCATCATACTCTAAGCATCCCTGTATGACTTTGCACAATGCAGTCAGTTAGGCCATGAGCATACATGTATGATTTATTCAGTTGAATGGTTAATGCCATTTCACATAGTTTGTAGTTTGTGTGCATCTAAATAACATCAATTGATGATGTATTTTGTCCAAGATAGTGTTGCCATATAATCAACTGTCCATATTATCCTTACAGGTAACCAAGGCAGATTGCTGCTGCACAATGGGCCTGGCTTGGGGCCCAATGTGTGAACACTGTCCACGTAGAGGTACACCTGAGTATGATGAAATTTGCATGGAGGCTGGCTTTTCCAGTGATGGCCTTGATATTGATGAATGCCAAATGCCAAATCTTTGTAGAAATGGAAAATGTATCAACACCATGGGCTCCTACCGATGTATCTGTGACAAAGGTTACAAGCCAGACCATTCTGGAACAAGGTGCATTGATGTGAATGAATGTGAACGTACACCCCCACCATGTAAGTTTACCTGCCAAAATACTGAAGGCTCTTACCGCTGCTCCTGTCCACGTGGCTATACACTCAACCCTGATGGTATTACTTGCCGAGATCTTGATGAGTGTGCAACAGGTCAGCACACCTGTGAAAATGAATGTGTTAACACTCAAGGCTCATACAAGTGTACATGTGCTCAAGGATACAACGAAGTTGGTGAACAGTGTATTGGTATGTCCTGTATTTTTTATAATTTTTCAATGCATTATCATGCTTATTCCTTTGGTATTTGTTGACTGGTTTATTGACCATTTGTTTTGAGATTATCTATAATTAAATATCCCCAAAGGGATACCTTATAGTTTTCAAAGAATTAAATGTATTTTCCAAAATTTGTGGTGTCCCATGCAGTATCCAGAGAATGCCCTCATGTATTGACTTGAAATTGTCCAGTCTTATGTATGGTGGTGCAAGGAATATCGCTCTTGCTGCTGAGCCATATCTCAAAATTTAATAAACATCACTGCTCAAATATTTCTCCACAAATGCCCAAAACACTACTAGCAGTCCTACCACCAGCACTACAACCAATCTTACCACCAGCACTACAACCAATCTTACCACCAGCACTACAACCAATCCTTCCACCAGCACTACAACCAATCCTACCACTAGCACTACAACCAATGTAACAATGTTGGAATGTCACTACTGTGACATTGACAAGGCCGCCTACAGACGCCCCAAGGACAGCAAATTCATTTGCCATGTTGGAGGACGAGTGCTGTGGTCCGGGGTGTCCTATGTCTTGGCTCACGGCCTGTCTCAGTTCATTCCTCTGTTCACGGATTGGCCAGTTGTCGCCAACTCGTTTTGTTGGCTCTGCCGGACGTACAGACTCCTGGACATGGACACCTTTGCGTCAGCGTGATCTCGGCGTCTCCCATTCTATATGGCGCCCTTACTCGCCTGCGAAGCATTCGCAGTGGATGCCTTTCAGCAGGACTGGTCGTAGTGGAGTTACCTGTTCTTCTCCTGGTCCAGCTGTTGCTTCGGGTTCTGGCTCAGTTGGAGTCCTTCCCAAGGAGAGTACTCGAGTACTCCTCGTGGTCCCTTGGTGGCCGGCCCAGCTTTGTTTTCAGACGCCGCTTGATAGGTGTCCGAACCTGGGGCGTTTCCAGCGGCTCCGCCTCTTTTGGCAGGTCGGACCGGTCCTGTACGTGACTGGTTCGGCCTTCACCTCGGCTCTTCGCGTCTGGTTTTTTGATGCGGGTGTATCACCATCTCTAAGGTGATCAGGTGGCTTTGTTGATGGTGTCCCACCTGCGATTTTCGTCTCGGCGACAGTATGACGTTCCTCGCGTTTCTATTCGCCATTTTCTTACTCTTCGTAGGTTGTCTTCTCTTTCACATCGGGTTGTCTTGTACTTTCTTGGGTTTTCAGGACTGTTAATTGATGTTTTTTACTGTCACCTCATATCGTGCGGTGCTGGCGGAGCCGTTCTGGCTTGAGTTCGGGGTGGACATCACATCCGCCCCGTTCCGTACACTTTCTCGTGTTTTGTTTCACCTCCGCCCTGCTCATGCGCAACCTGAGCCGTCCTGGTCCTTCATCAGGGTGCCCTCTTTTTCTTCCTCTCCTCAGTTTGTGGTAGCCCCTTTGGTTCTTTGGTTCAAGATTGTTTTTCAAAGGTCATATTTTGTTGGCCTCTGAGGGCCAGTGCCAACAAAATATGGTTTGTCTCCCAGATCGTCTGCAGGTTTCTTAAGTCTACCAGTCTGCGGTTTATCCTTGCACCATGCCGTTTGGATGTTTGCAACTTTCGCTGCCGTGTTTGGGTTGTCTTGGGCTCATTTTGTCATCAGCTCATCTTGGGCTCATTTTGTCATCAGCTCGTCTTGGGCTTATTTTGGGAGCGAGGATTTGAGAGTTGCACAGGTTCCTGGCCACCGTTCTTTTGTGAGCGTGTCTGCTCCTGTGCGTTCTTGTGTTGCTTTGGGTTGCAGGTTGCTGCCAGTTGTCTCAACTTCGCGTTGTGGAGTTTGTGGCGGCCGCCTCCCGGGTCAGCCCTTTCTTTTCCTTCTCTTTGGGTATGTAGCTCCAGGGAGCTGTAGGGGCTCCCCACAGAAAACCAGCATTGAATGTAATGAAACACCATTCTCTGGGTGAGCCCCGGAGGCTCTCTGGCAACCCTCCCTCCCACCGATCGACAGTTTTTTCGCGTTGGTTGAAGCTTAGCTTTCGAACTGATGCTAGGCAGCCAGCGTGGTGAGGTCTGGACCCTCCCCCTCCCCCTCTCGGGGCGGGGAGGGCTGCCCGGACGAGCAGCACGGCAGTAAAGTGTGATGTTTGCTTGTTTCCTTTGGATTGTAGGGAGTTTGTACCTATTTGTTCAGTTTTTGTTTTAGTTTCTTACCATGTGGGGTTTGTTTTGTTATGCCTACCTTTCTGGGTGCTTAACCCCGTTTGATGGCAGATAAGGAAAACCCCCAACCACAAGGGGGGTTTTCCAGAGTCATTGCTCCCTGAAACCACTCTGAAGGGGTCAGGTTCTGGCGCTGGTCCCTTGTAGGTCTGAATTCCATAGTTAATGTCCCGGTCTAATATAACATATATTAGCCCAATAAGTTCCAGGGAGCCTCCGGGGCTCACCCAGAAAATGGAGTTTCATTACATTCAATGCTGGTTTTTTTCACTACTTGCATCACAGCCACCACAGTTTCTGCCACCACCATCACCACCTTTTCCACCACCCACCATTTACCCTTCCCATTTTTATTATATCCCCTAATACTTGTTGTACCCTGGTATGCATTGTTCTCCAGTTCTCATCGCACCCCCTCATTGTTTCCCCAATTACTCAATGTACCCAGTACTCATTATATCCCCAGTGCTCAAACCACCCTGTATGCTGAGATATTCTGGCCCATGAATAATTAGCTCTCTTCATTGGAAATGTTCAAATATCTAGGTAAATTGCTGAAGCAGGTTTGCATCCTAAGAAACTGTCTTATTCTTTTCTCTTTCCTGTCAGATATTAATGAGTGTGTGGAGCAGACTGGTTTGTGTGGTCCACTGGGTACATGTATAAATACAAGAGGAAGCTTCAGATGCATGTGTCCTCGCGGATATCGGCTTGATCCTTCAGGGACTATGTGCATTGACTCTGATGAGTGTTCTCTTGATGGGTCTTGTGAATCAGGATGTGAGGTGAACTCCCTAAAAGTTGTCTGAAATGTTTATTTGATCAAATTTATTTTGTAATTGTTAATTTTCGTTTATTGATAATTTCTAGAACATTCCTTCAATGCATAATATGTTCTTTACCACACTCAAAGCATCATATTGATTAAAAATTATTATTGTTGTAGAACTTGCAAGGTGGATTCCTGTGTGGGTGTCCCGATGGTTACCGCCGCCACCACTACTACAACCAATGCGTGGATGATGACGAGTGTTCGCAAAGTACTATGTGTGGCTCTGCAGATTGTCAAAACACTCTTGGTTCATACAAATGTCTTTGTCCTAACGGATACTCCTTCAACTTTGCATTGTTTGTCTGCATCCAGGTTTGTTCATGATTTAACTATACAGTACTGTCCCATTTTCTTTTTTGGGTCCTCTGATAGGTTAGGAGAGGACACTTAAATTTGAATGTTTTCTTGATGTTGGGAAACCTTAGGAGAATCGGCTGCATCTGAATTGCAAGTCTTGGATACCTAAAGCTTCACAAAACCTTTGGTGCTTTTAGTGAAAGGCATAACAAAAGCCATAATCATTTACTCAAAATTTAAACTTTGAAATAGACAACAGTGTGTGTTTCTAGATCATAATGACTGTGGGATGGATCTCGGACACAGTCTTCATAATTCTAGTCAATCATGTATTTATAGCATTCAATTTTTAAGAAAACACATTGAAGAATTTTAAATAGTCATGTAAAAATAATATATAATTTATATTTTATTTGTGTTTATTAAATTAAATGGGGAAATTCGTTTTGAAAGACGAGCTTTTCACATGACGAGCTTGGTGCCGAAACAGATTAAATTTGTTAATCGAGGCTCCACTGTATATAGTGTAATAACAGCAAAACTATTTCTTTATTGTTTTATGAACATAATAATTGAATCACTAATATGCACACCATACTTTTGAGTATAGTGATGGTTCATACATGTTATCATATAAATATATCACTACACACTATAGAATAATATTATGCAAAAAAAAAAAGAGAAAATAAATCAGAGACATTGAAATAATTAGGTAATAATAACTTTGTGGCAACTCCTGCATGGCAGTGCGGGTGGAGCTGACCGTCTCCGACACTTACTCTGTCAACGCCTCAATTTTGCTAGACTTCCTCTCCCTATTGCTGCCAAAATATGTCGCCACGATTATTTTTGCCGTGATCAGTGAACACAAATGAACACTTTTATAAGACAAAATTTTGTATTTGTTTTTGTTATTTCTTGCACTTGGCAGTTTTGAAGGCGATTAATTACTATGACACTTCACTACAGTGCCAACAAACCAACTGCTTTAACCAAGACTATACTAAATAAATAAATAAAAAAACACTAAATGCTTTATCTTATCAACCAGATATGTACATGTAATCATATGCTACATATGCACCATATGGTTCTGTATTTTGTCATTAGTATGTGGAGTGCAAATAGTTTATAAATCTTACTTGTAATTACCGTATAACCTCTGATGAGGAAATTTTGTCTCTTCTGAAAGTGAAAAGACATCATATTATTGCACATTATTATTACATGTCAACATATTATTACATGTTGATTAATAAAATATTAATTAATTTTATTTGTTACATTGCAGGTAGATGATAGCTGTATATCCAGTCCCTGTACCTTTGGCTGCAATGCCCTTGGTGATGATGCTGTTGCCTGTGGTTGTCCCTCAGGCTTCTCCAGGATTGGTTCTGTAAGTTAGCACTTGACATATATTTTTCTTATTAGTCTTATTACTTTTGTTATAATTAAATTTTACATAACAGAGGCCCTGTCCCTGGTGTTGTTCTCTGACCTCTGAGAATGTGTGAGAGAGAGAGTGAGAGAGAGAGAGACAGAGACAGAGACAGAGACAGAAACAAAGAGAGAGAGAGACAGACAGACAGACAGACAGACAGACAGACAGACAGACAGACAGACAGACAGACAGACAGACAGACAGACAGACAGACAGACAGACAAACACAGAGAGAGACAGAGACACAGAGAGAGAGATAGAGACAGACAGAGACACAGAGAGAGAGAGACAGATACACAAAGAGAGAGACAGATACACAAAGAGAGAGACAGATACACACAGAGAGACAGACACAGAGAGAGAGAGAGAGAGAGAGAGAGAGAGACAGACAGACAGACAGACAGACAGACAGACAGACAGACAGACAGACAGACAGACAGACAGACAGACAGACAGACAGACAGACAGACAGACAGACAGACAAACAGAGACAAACAGAGACAAACAGAGACAAACAGAGAGAGAGAGAGAGACAGAGAGAGAGAGAGACAGAGAGAAAGAGACAGAGAGAGAGACAGACAGACAGAGAGACAGAGACAGAGAGAGAGACACACAGACAGAGATAGAGAGAGAGACACACAGACAGACAGAGATAGAGAGAGAGACACACAGACAAAGATAAAGAGAGAGACACACAGACAGAGATAGAGAGAGACACACAGACAGAGATAGAGAGACACACAGACAGAGATAGAGAGAGAGACACACAGACAGAGATAGAGAGAGAGGCACACAGACAGAGATAGAGAGAGAGACACACCGACAGAGATAGAGAGACACACAGGCAGAGATAGAGAGAGAGACACACAGACAGAGATAGAGAGAGACACACACAGAGAGGAGAGGAAGGAGAATGAAAGGAAGGAGAGGAAGGGTAAAAGGGATGGGAATGTTTATCTCTCTTCTCCCCACTCCCACCTGCACTGCACAAACATATGTGCCCTTCAACATTGTACAATAAAAGTAACTCGAGGCGAGTGTTAGGCCCAGATAGAGGTGTTTACATTCCTTGATGACGACTGGTGTTACCGTTAATAATAGTACAGTTAGTAATTAGTAATAGTACAGTTAATAAACTGTAATCAGTTAGACACTCGTTTATCCATTGTAACATTTCCAGGCACCAGATGGGCTCACTGTCTGATCCCATGCCCTCCAGGAAGTGGAAAGTTGAGAGGTAGCAATAGGCAGAGAGAGGAAGAGATGTAGGATAAGGAGAGAGCAAAAATAGAGAGGGAGTACCCCTAAATCCTGTTAAAATGGGTCCCCTTCTTGTAGCCAGAGGTGGTAGCCCCCTTCCTATATTTTGTTTTTAATTAATATTAATATTTTTTCATTTATTATGGGGCCACCATTTTATGGGCCCTGGTTCAACTGCAGCACTTCACCATGGTCCATTGTAAATCTGGCACTGGAAAAAAACTTAATTGGGGCCCCTCTTTACTTGAAGCTCTAAGTACATGCTTATTGTGCTAAATGGTTTATGCAGGGCTGGAGACAATGATATTGATGGTGGTGATGTGAAGTTCATTCTACCTCTTAACATATTATTATTCTTTAAGTCCAATTTATAGGACTTATATGCATTATGGACCTATTATACCATACATTATGGTATCATGGAATTTAATACTATAATGATTGCCACATTGGCATTATAAAATATTTAATGATAACTGCATTTGCATTGTAAGCAATATTGAAACAATATTAGAGTTTTCTTTCATGGGTCTAGGTAAGCTCCACTACAGGCCTATAGTGCTATTATATCTATAAGGATTCCTAGAACTGCTCTGTCTCATGTGTGCTCATCTAGTAGACATTTGTGTGGAGCTACCTAAGTACTGTTAGCTTGAGGAAGCCATCAGGGCCCAACCAGGAAGAAGCATTTCATTACATTCACTGCTGGTTTATTGCCAGGTTGTAGCAGTGGGAGGCTACTAAAAAGGCTCAAACAGAATTTTTATTTTGTTAACCGGAGTCAATTCACAGTGAAAGGGTTAAATGCCGAGATCTGAATGTTTTGTATTGCCTCTTTAATTATATTACTGTAGTTTTAAAATCATAAAATTTTTGTTAGAATGTATGAATTTTTCTTATTTAGCTAGTTACAAATATTAAATGTCGTCTTGTCATAGACCAATAAAAATATTTTCAGTTCAACACTACTAAATTTCTAACATACATACCCGGTATACCATATTATGATATTTAATGTGTTTATTTTCTTCCAGGGTCACTGTATGTCTACCTTAAATCCCCCCGTTGGTAGTGGTGGCTACAACACTCAGTTTGGTGGATTTGGTGGTGGTGGTCCAGGTGCTGGATTTGGTGGTGGTCCAGGTGCTGGATTTGGGGGTGGCCAAGGTGCTGGATTTGGTGGTGGTCAAAGTGCTGGATTTGGGGGTGGTCCAGGTGCTGGATTTGGGGGTGGTCCAGGTGCTGGATTTGGGGGTGGTGGTCCAGGTGCTGGATTTGGTGGTGGTGGTCCAGGTGCTGGATTTGGTGGTGGTGGTCAAGGAGGTGGATTTGGCCCTGGTGGATTTGGTGGTAGCCCAGGAGGCCCTGGTGGATTTGGTGGCAGCCCAGGAGGCCCTGGTGGATTTGGTGGCAGCCCATTAGGCCCTGGTGGATTTGGCCCTAGTGGATTTGGCCCTGGTGGTGGCCCAGGAGGCGCTGGTACATTTGGCCCGGGTGGTGGCCCAGGAGGCCCTGGTGCATTTGGCCCTGGTGGTGGTGTTGGTGGCACAGGTGGTTATGGAGGTACCAGTGGCTATGGAGGGAGCAGTGGTGGCCTATATGGAGGTGCTACAGGAACTGGAGGGTATGGAACTGGTAGCTTTGTAGGAGGCAGCACCTTCGGCTATGTGTCATCGCAGTATGATCTGGGTGGTGTACCAACCTTCCCCATTGGCCAAGAGGATTCACATGACAATAAAAATATCATCTCAACTGAGGGATGCTTTTCATGTAAAGTAAGTAAATTATGAGAATTTCATCAGTGTACTGTATGTATGTATTTATATATGCAACAAATATCATGCAAACACTGATCCAAGTATGCGGAAAAAGCACATGTGAAAAATAGAGAATGCTAAACACGTTTTTGGCGTAATTTGCCATCATCAAAGCAAAGTAGAATGAATTCTACTTTGTTCTGATGATGGCGAATTAAGCCAAAAATACATTTAGCATTCTCTATTTTTCACATGTGGTTTTTCTGCATATATATATATATATATATATATATATATATATATATATATATATATATATATATATAATATATATATATATATGTCGTACCTAGTAGCCAGAACGCACTTTTCAGCCTACTATGCAAGGCCTGATTTGCCTAATTAGCCAAGTTTTCCTGAATTTATATATTTGCTCAAATTTTTTTCTTATGAAATGATAAAGCTACCCATTTCATTATGTATGAGGTCAATTTTTTTTTATTGGAGTTAAAATTAACGTAGATATATGACCGAACCTAACCAACCCTACCTAACCTAACCTAACCTATCTTTATAGGTTAGGTTAGGTTAGGTAGCCGAAAAAGTTAGGTTAGGTTAGGTTAGGTTGGTTAGGTAGTTGAAAAACAATTAATTCATGAAAACTTGGCTTATTAGGCAAATCGGGCCTTGAATAGCAGGCTGAGAAGTGAGTTCTGGCTACTAGGTACGACATATATATATATATATATATATATATATATATATATATATATATATATATATGTCGTACCTAGTAGCCAGAACGTACTTTTCAGCCTACTATACAAGGCCCGATTTGCCTAATAAGCCAAGTTTTCATGAATTAATATATTTTCTCAAATTTTTTTCTTATGAAATGATAAAGCTTCCCATTTCATTATGTATGCGGTAAATTTTTTTTTATTGGAGTTAAAATTAACGTAGATATATGACCGAACCTAACCAGCCTTACCTAACCTAACCTAACCCATCTTTATAGGTTAGGTTAGGTTAGGTAGCCGAAAAAGTTAGGTTAGGTTAGGTTAGGTAGGTTAGGTAATCGAAAAACAATTAATTCATGAAAACTTGGCTTATTAGGCAAATCGGGCCTTGCATAGTAGGCTGAGAAGTGCGTTCTGGCTACTAGGTACGACATTATATATATATATATATATATATATATATATATATATATATATATATATATATATATATATATATATATATATATATATATATATATATATATATATATATATATATATATATATATATATATATATATATATATATATATATATATATATATATATTCATCTATCTCTCTCTATATCATCGCATATATATATATATGCGAACAAGCCTGAATGGTCCCCAGGACTATATGCGAATGAAAACTCACACCCCAGAAGTGACTCGAACCCATACTCCCAGAAGCAACGCAACTGGTAACTACAGGGCGCCTTAATCCGCTTGACCATCACGGCCGTCAAAAGGAAGTGATAGCCGAGGCTATTTGAGCCACTTCCCCGACGGCAACTCGGATAGTAATCTTGGGCATAGCATTTCACCAAATCACCTCATTCTTTGGGGCACACGTGAGGAACACAAATGCGAACAAGCCTGAATGGTCCCCAGGACTATATGCGAATGAAAACTCACACCCCAGAAGTGACTCGAACCCATACTCCCAGAAGCAACGCAACTGGTAACTACAGGGCGCCTTAATCCGCTTGACCATCACGGCCGTCAAAAGGAAGTGATAGCCGAGGCTATTTGAGCCACTTCCCCGACGGCAACTCGGATAGTAATCTTGGGCATAGCATTTCACCAAATCACCTCATTCTTTGGGGCACACGTGAGGAACACAAATGCGAACAAGCCTGAATGGTCCCCAGGACTATATGCGAATGAAAACTCACACCCCAGAAGTGACTCGAACCCATACTCCCAGAAGCAACGCAACTGGTAACTACAGGGCGCCTTAATCCGCTTGACCATCAATCCGCTTGACTTGCTTCTGGGAGTATGGGTTCGAGTCACTTCTGGGGTGTGAGTTTTCATTCGCATATAGTCCTGGGGACCATTCAGGCTTGTTCGCATTTGTGTTCCTCACGTGTGCCCCAAAGAATGAGGTGATTTGGTGAAATGCTATGCCCAAGATTACTATCCGAGTTGCCGTCGGGGAAGTGGCTCAAATAGCCTCGGCTATCACTTCCTTTTGACGGCCGTGATGGTCAAGCGGATTAAGGCGCCCTGTAGTTACCAGTTGCGTTGCTTCTGGGAGTATGGGTTCGAGTCACTTCTGGGGTGTGAGTTTTCATTCATATATATATATATATATATATATATATATATATATATATATATATATATAATATATATATATATATATATATATATATATATATATATATATATATATATATATGCGAACAAGCCTGAATGGTCCCCAGGACATATGCAACTGAAAACTCACACCCCAGAAGTGACTCGAACCCATACTCCCAGAAGCAACGCAACAAACGTTCGCATTTGTGTTCCTCACGTGTTGCCCCAAAGAATGAGGTGATTTGGTAAAATGCTATGCCCAAGATAACTATCCGAGTGCCGGCGGTGGGGTGGTTCAAATAGCCTCGGCTATCACCTCATTATGTCCGGTCGTGATGGTCAAGTGGATTAAGGCGTCTTGTACATACCAGTTGCGTTGCTTCTTGGAGTATGGGTTCGAGTCACTTCTGGGGTGTGAGTTTTCAGTTATATATATATATATATATATATATATATATATATATATATATATATATTATATATATATTATATATATATATATATAATATACTGTATATATACATACATACATACATACACACGCAAACACACAAAAAAAAGAATAGGAGTGGTAGGAGAAGAAAATATTAAAGTATTCAGTGATCTTTATTTTCTTCTCCGAGGCAATGGGTCCCCTACAATTGCACCGGAGGTGCATATATCCCTTACTATATTATATATATTATTATATTTATAATGTATGTATGTCATCTCATTCACTTGGGCACTAGGAGACTTGAACTCTCAATCCCACAATGTGAGTGAAAAGCTCTTACCACTGTACTACATTGATGGTTCCAATAAAGACGATTTCAGAGGCAGCAATCCGCTGCCCATCTGTAATATCATACTTCTCCCAGCCACTGCTTAAGTACAAAGCATGTAGTGATCCATGCCCCATGTCATATAAATTGTCAACCTCACACGAAAGAATTCTTTAATACTGGTCTTTCATGACAGCATAGTGGTGATGAATGCCAGAAGGTATGTTGACTCCCCTGTCCAGTCCAAAATAAAACTATCTGTTAGATATTGAATTTTAGTCATACTTTTGATTTCAGATTTACCATTTCATAAGAAAAATATGTAAAATATTTATATTTTATGATAATAGTAGGAAACTGGGTAAGTATTATGATAATGTGATTAAACCATTTTTCACTTAAAAACATTTAATTTTTACAGTTCAATGGGCAAAATAGTCAGCCAGGTCGGCGTAGGCGATCTGTGAGTTCCCCTGTTGTAAACCCAATACTGCTGGTTCCAACTAAAGCCAATTTGACTGAGAATGAAGTGGTGTTGGTCCTTGCCAATAATTATACACACAGGGTGAGTAATAGAGAAGTAACCAAAGTGCTTTACAGCTATATGTACAGTTCAGTTCATTTCAGTACTTTTTTTTCAAGATTAGATCAGGTGGTCTAGAAGTGATAATAATATATGCATAACATTTGTTACTTAATTCAAGTAATTTAAAAGATAGTGCAACATGCATAAAGTAATGATTTTATCTATCATCATTTAAAAGCACTCCTAGCTGTATAAGTTATATTAAATTAATAAATTAATGCTTTAACAAATCTTTCTATTTAAAAGATAAATCATGGAGATTTGTTTTATATTTCTAAATACTTTAGCTTCACTTCAAGAGGTGAAAATTTTTTTTTAAATGTTTTATATATCATGCTTAATTGTGTATAACATAGTTATAACCAAAGTGTAGTTAGGGGATGCTAATAAGCTTACAATGTCTTGTCTTCCTCATGGTTTTGGTTATGTGAAGTTTTAAAGCTTTAAATGGTGTTGGCATACACCATCCTCGCAATTAATATATTTTGTCCGTCTTACAATCTGCAAAAGAGAATTTCTGTGCACTTTTAGCCACTGTACTGCTTTGGTATAAAATATGAAAAGTCCTGGTTGTGCAGAATTTGTTTTTATTCACAACCCCCCCCCCCCTAAAAAAAAAAATTGTTTCCTTCTACAGTATTATTAAAATGCATTCTCTGATAAAAAAAAAACTAAAAAAAAATTGTATGTGACATACTTTGGCTGTAAACAGACAAGGAAATATGGATATATTCACTCGCTGAGAGAGAGGACATGTTAGCGGTGGTGTGCTCCAGCTGAGCAGTGAAGTGAGGCTGCTGCCAGTACATAGTTACATAATTACTTCTATGTTTTTCAATCAATCTATATCTAGTTTTTCCAGTAATATTGTTCAATAGTGTGTAATTTAAGGAATTTGTATAGTTAAATGTGTGGAACATCACTATGCTCAAAAATATGGTGCTCACATCTTATGACATGTAATTTATATTCTTAGATCAATCAAATGGTGTTTTTGCTGTTATTACACTATACACACACATATATAATTATCTACATTTCTGGGGGAAGTCCCTTCGGCTCCCTGGAGCTATCCAGCTGATACACATGTATAAGCTTTGAGCATCAGTTAATGTACATGGAGTTCTAGGCCTACCAGGGACCACGAGCCAGAACCTAGCCCTCTCAGAGAGGCGCGAAGAGCAATGGCCTATAGAGATACCTTATTTATGGTTTAGAAGTACTCTATGTTTGCCATCGACCGGGTCGGGTACCCAGAAAGATAGGCAGGCCCAAAACATCCCCTTCTGTGAAGAAATGTTACCAAACACCAAACGAGAGGATAGAACTCTCCACAAGGAAAAAGATCATGATGTCATCTCGTTACCAACGTGCCGCTGTCTGTGCAACCTCCCTCTCACTGGGAGGGTGAAGGGGGAGGTTGCCCAGACCCCCACCCAGATCCCCCACTGGCTACCTGAGCCTGTCAGTTCTTGGCTGATGTCGGTGGGCTTCAGTCATGTACCTCCAGCTCCGGCTTTTCTTCTCTGTTCTTGCTTCGGTGGTGTGCGAGCTGGGAATATATTCACAAGTACAGTACTGGGGCTGTATGCGCTTAGGGTCCCCTTCCCTAAGTGCCCTGTAAGTACTGCCTTTGGGACTTGGGGCCTCCTTCCACAAGTCGCCTTGGGGCCTCCTTCCACAAGTCGCCTTGGGAGTTACCTCCGTTGTGTCAATTACTGCTTGGTACTTGTCTGCTCTTGGAGTCAGCTAGGGGGGTTTCTTGCTCCTGTCTCTGGGTAGGAGGTAGTATTTGTCACTGGTAGGGGCAAGGTACTTACGCAGTTAGTTTTCACCTCTCATAGCAGCCAGCTCTGCATCCTTTGGGTATGCTGCCCTCTTGCATTTTTTTTTATTTCTTTTTGTTCCTTGCCCTTGGGTTGGGTCACACTCTCTGTATATATATTGGTGGTACCCCCCCCCCCCCACTTGGCCCCCGTGAGCGGACACGTCCCGGGGGGTGCAGTCTTAGAAGTTTGTTTACTAATATTGAACACCGGTTAGTAGTACCCTGCCTGGGCTTCCCTTAATAGAGATTGAAAGGCTAAGGGCCCTGGGAAACCCCACGGGAGCGCGTGAAGTCCGTTGGATGTGACCCCTGAGTCTCCTCTCGCATTTTGCGAGTTTGCTTGAGGGTTGCTCTGTCCTCATGTCTCAGGGTGACTCACTGTTTTTGCTTCTGTTCAGCTGCCTGTTGGGTCGGTTACACCTTTGACCCAGAGTCCTGCGAGTTGTTACTTGTTTGTGACTGTTCACCCAGTCCACTGATGACTCTCTCTCTGGGTGCTGGCAGCTCCGGCATTACATGCTAGGTTTAGATTACTGCAACGCGCTTGGTTGTTTGCTACCCCGGAAGCCCTGTGGCTGCCCTGTTTTGCTTATAGGGTCCCAGATTTGGGGGTATGGGTCATTTCAGCTTTGGTTGGGTCCGCTTCCCCTTCATTCTTTCCCTGCTGTGGTGCTTTCTGGCCCCCTCCTGCTTCCGGCTCCAAAGCATCTCAAGGTTTCGGGGGTTAGGGTGGGGTTTAGCTGGTTTTGAGACTCGGGCAGTCTCGTGGGATGCGCCTTTTGGGGTGATGACAGCTGCATTCGAGTCGGTTCCTCCCACCGTTACCTATGGGTCTGACCAGTGAGCCCCCCTTCCTTAGTGTTCTTATGGTTGCCCTGGGCATTGTCCAATGGTAATACCTGTTACTGTCACCAATGCCCACAATTTTTTTTTAGGAGGGATTTTTTTTTCTTCTTCTTCTTCTTCTTCTTCTCTGTTTATTATCTGATTTTGTGGTAACCTCTACATCCTGGAGAATTAATACTGTCCCTAACTATGTGAAGATAGAATTAAATTGGTCAACATATAAATCAGTCATAGCTGGCAGAACTCGGGACTTTGATTTTTTTGGCTCATTTTTTCAAAGATTTCAAACTTTATTTTCCTTGTTTCTTTAAATTGTTTTGATGATTAAGGACCATATTAGGGGTTTTTGACTTATATAAAGTATACTATAAATATATCCCCTAAATCATTATTATTATTATAATTATCTCTATATTTTGCTTTTTTGGGGGTTATTTTTTCTTGACTCATTTCAACACATTGATCTACAACTTTCACATATTCGAGTATGAATGCCAAACAATGTTTATTAAAATATACAAGAAAATTAATGAACTAGAACTACCTTATACATTGTCCGTTACGTGGCTGGTTCAGTCTTCTCGAGTCTTCGTGTTTGGTGCTTTTAGACTCGAGTCTGTCACCATCTGTTTGGTGATCAGGTGGCTTTACCAAGGTGTTAAGCAGCCAGTTTACCTATGCAGCAGCTGGTTCCTGTTTCCTCTGGGGATGTTGTACTTTTGCAGCATTTTTAGCATTTTCTGTTCATTTTTGTTTTGTGTGCTTGGTGTGGCTACAGGACCACTTATAATATTTTGGTGGCTCTCTGCTAGGCCCCTGTGATTGTGCATGTCACAGGGGTTTCAGTGTTGTGATCGCCCCCCTGTTAGCTTTGGATCTAACCGGTTAGCAACTTCTTGCCCGGGCTTCCCATAGCAGTCAGTCTACAGGCTCTGGAAAACCCTGTTGGGGCTTGGTGGACCTATGGATGCATCTTCCAAGTTCCAGCTCGCCTCATGCGAGTTTGAAGGTTGCTGTATGCCCTTGTCTCAGAGTGACAGTCACCGATTTTGCGTCTGTCATGCTGCCTGTTGGGTCACTGACACCTTTGACCTGGAGTCTTGCGAGTAGTGTTCTCTGTATGTTCTCCAGTTTACCCACTCTGATAACATAGATATTCGGGTACAAGTGGCATCCACGTTGCATGCTAGGTTTAGGCAGATAAGGTAAACCACCAATCACAGGGGGGGTTTTTCAGGGCCATTGCTCCTGGCACCTCTCTGAGGAGAGGACCAGGTTCTGGCTTGTGGTACCCGGTAGGCAGAACTCCACTGACTAAAGCCCTGGTCAAATGTATCTCATATTAGCCCAATAGCTCCAGGAAGCCTCTGGGACTCACCCAGAAAATGGTGTTTCATTACATTCAATGCTTTTTTTTTTTTTTTTTCTTGGAGATGTGACAGATTTGCCTTAAGCCCTAGATCTTATTTTAACAATGCTGACAATCTCATCCAACAACAGGTGATGCGGCGCAGTTTGCAAGAAGAGTTTAAACGACAAGACAGTATATCTCACAAAGCAGCCAAGAACCCAATCATACTTAAAGTTTCTTTGGATCAGACCAAACATAGAATGAGACTCCTTAAACTAAAGCCTGCAATTAAATACCTGCAGGTGAGATTTAAATGGACTTCGTATTCTTTTCTTTCACTTGATTTTATAATTTATTTGAAGATAATAATAATAATACACTGTACTGTAATTCATTGTGTTGGGGGACAGGAAGCCAGAGTATATTCATACACATTAGGCTTTTATCGAGGTCCCCTCCAAAGGTTGAATTACTGACCCTGCCCAGGATGCAACCCCACAACAAGCTGACTAACACCCAAGTACCTATGTACTGCTAGTTGAACAGGTTCATTAGGTGAAAGGAAATGTGCCTAACCATTTCTGTCCGACCGGGGATTCGAACCTGAAATTCTCAATTGTGCGTCAAGAACAAACCTGACTGTACTTCTGGGACCACTTCAATGTAATATAATTTTCACACCATTACAGCTTAACATAATAAATGTCTCGTGTAGTAGATAAGATGAGATAAGATAATGTGTATTCAGGTAAAAGTACATACATTCAAAATGAGTAACAAATATAATGATGGATTTCTAGATAGAGCTAGCACATACTATACCTAAAGCCACTAATACGCACACTGTTTCAAGCAAGGTGTTGGAAAAATACTTCAGACTAAAACTTAAAACTAATTGAGATCAAAGCATAAATTGAATTTAAAAAGAGAAAAAATTAAATAGAATGATGATAATTAGATGATGGGTGGAACAACAGAAATTGCAATAGTACAGCAAAAGTAATTTTAACTAAATAAACAGAAGACTACAATTTTCTTTAAGTTTATATATGGCAGGTATCAGCAGTTAAACAAGTTGGTCAATAATCAATACTGTTTGAAAATTGCAAGACATAAGTTGACATTTAGGAGGCAAGGTAAGTTGCATGGAGTTTATTAGGTAGTACTGTACTTCTCTTAAACTGTTTGAGAGAGGTAAACCTTTGATATGATTGGGAATGTCATTCCACATTCTGGGTCCCTTGATTTGCAGAGCATTTCTAGTTTGCTTAAGTCGCACTCTTGGAATATCAAATTAAATATCAATAAAGTATAAGTAAAAAAACAGTGCATTGGAACCTCAAAAATTAAAATGGTAATAATCTTGAAACTTAAAATTGTAAAACTTTTCTGTCAGTGGAAAATTGTGAAAATCTTGATTTGTCAAATCATGTGGCCTAGTGTATATGCCTATGGAATACTCAATTTTACTAAACATGAAATCCAATGAGAAATTCAAGCCTTGGAACAGAGAAAACACTGTTAAGGATTTCTGAAATAGCTTCTCAAAAGTATAGAAGAATGTCTGGATAACTATCACTGAAGAGCACGTACAGGGAAGATTGTATAATGAGCACCAGGCACTATGATCCAGTATTTGATGAAAGGACAATGGCATAAGGCACTTGCCTAAGTTTTGGGCAGCAAGAGGAGAGGAAAGCCAGGTAATATGTGAGTGGACTTAGTGAGTGGATGTATCACAAAGTGGAAAGTAAGTTAGTGCAGTGCATGGGATATGGGAAGAGACTGGCTGGAATGGAATGGCTGGCTGGAATGTGGTTAATAAGAGTAGAACGAATGTATTTGTATATAAGATATATGACAATTTGTGAGCACCACTGTCCATTTGGTCTTAATGCAGTGGTGGGGGGCACTATTGTGGATGATTGCTAGAATATGATGGTGCTTGTTTAATGACATATTGTGTTGCATATTGTGAATGATATAATGAATAGTGGAGGGATATTTTATTGCTTTTATTTTCTAAAATACTTATCTTTTTATTATGTTACTTTTCTTTTTTCATGGAGTACCAAGGTCTAATCCTTGGCACCCTGTGAAAGTGAGAAATATGGTACAGATATTGCACATTAATTTAGATCATATGGGGTGGCCCCATCTGAGTTACACAGAGATCAGAATTAACCAGTTTTATTTTTTTATGATACTGTAGTATAATATCATCCAGTACAGTAAAATATTTTCCAATGTAGTATAACATAATATCTTACAGTACAGTACAATATTTGATAATACTGTACAGTACAATATATTACAGGGAAGGCCGGGGAGGATTTACTGGGCGCAAATCCTTAACTGTAGCCTCTGTTTAACGCAACAGTAAAATGTGTACTTGGTTGTAACAACGATTCTTCGCGGCGGGGATCATATTCCAGGGACCTGCCCGAAACGCTACGCGTACTAGTGGCTGTACAAGAATGTAACAACTCTTGTATATATCTCAAAAAAAAAAAATAAAAAAAAGTGCAGTTAAAATTTCTTAGATTATGGTTCAATATGTTACACTACAATAAATAATATTTAACAGACCTTACAGCCCAATATAGTATAATAGTACCAATTACAGTTTACTGTAGTACTGTATAATATTACAATATCTTTAGTTATTATTCTTCTAGTTATTTTTCTAATATACAAACTGCCAGATGCAATGGCTGAGGAATTCACAGAACATATAGACAAAATAGAGAATAGCCTCGATAATTTGGCAAACTCAATACCTGATATTATCTTCATAGTTTCAACCTGCCTAGTCTAAGATGGAGAATAGCAAACAATAATATTATACCAGGAAATCTGTCTAGACATAACCAACCACAGATTAGAGAACTACTTATATTCTGTAACAAATTTTCACTCAACCATATGATAACAGCCAACTAGGAACAAAAATATTCTAGATCTGGTCTACACAAACAATAAAGATATAATCAGGGCATTACGATCTCAGATACCACATACTCAGATCACAAGCTCATTGAAGTGCAAACTAACATCAATACTCATAATAGACCTAAAACAATGATCAAACGAGAACGGTTATTCAGTAAATTCAGTTTTAATAATAAAAGTATAGACTGGGAAAAAATAAATAGGGAACTTATAAACATTCAATGGGAAATTATTCTAAGTAATAAAAATTCCACACAAGGAATAGAACAACTGGCTTTGCGGAAAGCCAGAAAGAGCTCCAACGTAGAAAGAGAACGCAGACGACACTACAAAAAAAGAATGGAAATGTTTAACCCTCTGGCTGTTCAAGCAATTTTGGCATGCAACATACGGGTATGCATAAAATAAATTGTTCTCAAAAAATTATTTGTTCTTTTGACATTGTTAATTATCATCCAGGAAGGAAAAAAGTCTAAATGACATTGTTAATTATCATCCAGGATGGAGAAGTCCAAATGAGAAGTTACTATCTTTTGTGGTTTAGCCACAGTGGATCGGAGAAGATGTGTTTTCTGTGGAGAGCCCCTTCAGCTCCCAGAGCTATACCGGGCTGATGTGTATATATTAGACTGTGGCAACAGTCAAAGAAGTTCTAGGCCTACCAGGGACCACAGCCAGTACCTGGCCCCCCTCAAGAAAGGCATGAGAAGTAACTGTCTAAGTAAGGTGGAAGTAAACCCCCCCCATCCCTGTGTAATTGGAAGAAGTCTTTTGTCTGCCATCTACCAGGTCAGGCACCCAGAATGGTAGGAATTCCAAAACAAACGACTGCTGGTCACAAGTTGCAAACCGAAAGCCGAACTAGCAAACAGAACTCCCCAATCAAAAACAAGGAAACAGACATGACGTCACCACAACTGCCGCGCATCCGTCTCCGCAACCCCCTCCCCTCCCGGGGAGGGGGAGGGGGATCCCAGACTTCCATGCCGGCAACTCTCCTCTGTTCAAGAGGCTGTTCTGTTGGTGACGGTCGATCGTTCTGGCTCCATTCTTTGCGCAGTGCCACAGTGTTGGTGGTGTGTGAGCCAGGTGTAACACTAAGAGTACTGGGGCTGCATGCACCTAGGGCTACCTTCCCTAGGTGCCAGTAAGTCTGTAAGTCCTAAGCCTTTGTGGCTTAGGGTTATCTTCCATGAGCCATTCAGGAGCATCTACCTCTGTGTGGTTCTGTCACTGCTCGGTGATTGCCTCGCCCTTTGGGTTCAGCAGGAGTGGTTCTTACTCCTGTTTGCCCTTACTCGTCACTGGCTGGGGTGCGGGGTACTATGCAGCTGTCTGACATGTGCATAGCAACAGGTTCTGTTCACCTGAAGACGTGCTTTTGCAGGGTTTTTCTTTTGTTTTTGTTTAGATTTGCCTGGTGGGGGTCTGCCTTGTGTGGTGGTAGGACCACTTGTAGGATTTTGGTGGCCCTCCGCTAGGTCCCCGTGCTTGCACACGTCACAGGGATTCAGCTTTTAGTTTGTTTGCTTGGTAGCTCTGGGATAACCGGTTAGCAGTACCTTGCCTGGGCTTCCCTTAGCAGTTAGCCTAAGGGCCTTGGAAACCACCATTGGGGCTCAGTTGTCCGATGTAGAAGACCTCTGAGTTCCACCTCGCCTTGTGTGAGTTTGAAGGTTGCTCTGTCCCCCTGTTTTAGGGTGACAATCACCGTCTTGTCTCTGCCTTGCTGCTTGTTGGGGTCAGTGACACCTATGACCCAGAATCCTGCGAGTGGTGTTCTTTGCTTGTACTCCATTCACCCAGTCCACTGAGACTGATATTTGGGTGCAGGCAGCTCTAGCATTGGTTCGCTACTGGCGGACCAACGGTTTAAGTTGCAGAAATGTGGGAGGTTGGTTGCCTTTCCGGATCCCCTGCAGCTGCCCCGCTGAATTATACTGGTAGTGAGACTCGGATGGCTTCGGGAATTGCCCCTTCCAGATCGGCGGCAGAGGCATTCAAGCCTGGTCCTCCTGCCAGAGCTTTTGGGCACGCCAATGGGACCCCTTCATCCCTGCTTTTCTGGTGGACTCTGCTTTGTTTTTCTCCAAAGGCAGTGGGTTTGAGGGATGGCTCGGCCCCGGGTCCTGACGTGGAGGATCCAGGGCTGGGGAGGAGTTGACTTCGGGGGCCTGAGCCCCACCTGTCCCTGCTTGGGTGTTTGGTACCCTCGGTGCAGGGCTTGTTGTTACAGAAGGAGGGGTTTTCCTTTCCCTCTCCCTGTACGATTTTGTTAAGAGTTTGACTCCTCTCCGGGTTCGGGTCCGAGTTCCCTTGGGTTCTTCGGTTCCCTCCTTCTGAAGGTTTCTGGCTATCCGCATCCCACCGAGGAAAGTGTGGGAGGCTTCTTGCGGCTTACCTCCTGTAAGACCCGGATTATGCCTCAATAATGAAGCCTTCTTTTTGAGTTTGGCTCCTCTTTTTCTTTATTGGGTGCGTTACAAGATGCCAGAGTCTTCCTGGCTGGCAGACTCCCTTTTCTTCTTTGGGGGGCTTAGCATTCGTCCTGTCGGAATGCGCACTTGAATAGTGAGAGTTGCCTATGGTCATTCAGGTTTACCTGGAGGGTGAGTTGGAGCACCTCAAGGTGTGCTAGTTCGCTCCCGTCCTTCCTCATGGTGTCAGCCAGGTGCGGCTTCACGTGCAAGTTCCCTCTCTTTCGGCATCCCTGGTAGCCGAGGATTTGTTCGCCCGTGGGCATTTGGCTTCGGTCTTGCACTTCTTTTCCCTGTTGGAGCTGTCTTCGGACTGTCTTGTGCTGGGTGTGGAGGAGCTGGGTTCTAGGCCAGGGTCCGGTGTGCTTGCTTCGGCAGCTTCGGCGCCGGCTGCTTTGGTGAAATTGTATGCGCTGTTTCTGAGGGAGGCGGTGTCTGTTCTTCGCTTCTCGCCTCACGTGCTAACAGGCGGTGCTCGTCCAATTTTTTTTAATCGTCTTGGGCCCTGGCTCTTAGATTTTCATCGTCTTGTCCGTTGCTGTTTGCAGAGTCTGCGGTGGTGCTTTTTCTGCAGGCGGCTTTGTCTAGTTGACAGCCTTTGTCAGACTTGTAGTTTCTCTGGGGGGGCCATGGAGGTCCTGCCCGGATGGGTTGTGCCAGGTCTCGGGGTTCCTTTGGTCGTCGTAAGCCAGTAGTGCCAGATTCGGGGCCGGCACCTCCTCTGGAGCCGTCGGCTTTCTGGTCAGCGCAGTGATCACTCTTTGCATCATTTGGGCTCTCATAGGAGTCGTCGGCCCTTTCACGGTTTGCCTGTTGATGGGGCGATAGGGGGGGTGGGAGGCTTGCGCTGTTTGCTCTCGCCTGGACATTTCAGGTCGTTTCCTCTGACCTGTGGTGGCGTTGGGTCGTTCCTCCTCCTTTGGGGAGATCGGGGCTGGCAGGGCAGGCCTCTTCTGTGCTCTGTCAGGTCATGCAGGGGTGGGTTCGCTTGAGTGTGGTCGAAACGACAACATCCCTCAGGTGCGTTTCCACCTGTTTTCAGTTCCGAAACGGGACTGTGTGGATCTGTGATTCAAACTGGACTTGTCTAATCTGAATCCCTGGGAATTTTGCCCCTCCTTTCGGATGACCACTCTGTCTCAGGTCCGGCTGCTTTTGGCGCCGAGTGCCTGGATGGTGTCTCTGGACCTCCGAGACGCATATTGGTTTTATAATTTTATTGTATGTGTCCCGATTCATCCGGGGTTCAGTGACTGACTCGGTTTTGTCGTGGGGCGACAAGCTTACCGCTTTCATTGCCTTTCATTCGGCTTGAATCTGGCACCTCGAGTGTTCACATGCCTTACCGGGTCGTGGTAACCTGTTTGCTTCTGATGGGGGTTCAGGTTCTGGCTTACCTCGACGACTGGCTGGTGTGGGCTCCCAGCCAGTCCGCGTGTCTGCTCGCCAAGGATATGGTTCTTTCCCAGCTCGCCGAGTTCAGGTTCATGGTGAACTGGAGGAAGTCCTTTTTGGTTCCCTCTCAGGTTCGGACTTAGCTGGGTCTAGTGTGGGACTCTCGGACAGCTTCCTTGACTCTCCTTCCTGCGACACTGTTGCAGCTGCGGTCCCGCCTCCGGCTGTTTTTGGAGGGCACCCGGGTCACATGTTTGGTTGTTTGAGCGGCTGTGCGGGATCCTGAACTTTGCCGTGCTGGTCTACCCATCGGGTCGGATGCGACTTAGGCGGATGTTCTGGTTTCTTCAGGGTCATCCCTTCTGCTGCTCTCGCGATCAATGGGTTCGGATCCCAGGAGCCTTGCGTCGGCTGCTGCATCGCCGGCTTCCTCTGTTTTTCTTTTCGGGGTTCTGTGCCATGGCGCCTCCCTAAGCCCTCACTCGATGTGTTCACGGATACCTCGTCTCTCGGCTGGAGTTTTGTGACAAGTGCTCACCAGGCCGGCCAGGGTCGGTGGGGTCCATCCTTCCGATGAGCTCACAGCACAGTGTGGGAGTTTGCGAATGGAATGGACGGTCAACGCCGACTCATTCAGTTGGCTCTACCGGACATACAGGCATCCAGTGGTGAACCTATTCGCATTGGTGTGGCCGAGGCATCTTCCAGTTTGTGGCGACCTTCCCAGACTGCGAGGCCGTCGGGGTCGATGTCTTTCGACTGGACTAGTCGAGGCGGAGTTACCTATACCTCTTCCCTCCGATCTGGTTGTTGCTCCGGATCCTGGCTCGGTTGGAGACTTACCAAGGGAGAGTAGTCGTGTTGGCTCCTTGGTGGCCAGGCCAGCCTTGGTTTCAGGCGCTTCTTGCTCGATGTCCGAACCCGAGGGTCTTCCTGCAGCTCCGCCTCTTTCAGCAGATTGGTCCAGTCCGTTATGTGGCTGGTTCGATCTTCTCCTCCACTCTTTGTGTCTCGTCTTTTTGACGCGGGTGTATCACCACTTGTATGGTGATCAGGTGGCTTAGTTGATGGTGTCCCACCTGCGAGTTTCGTCTAGACGGCAGTATGAAATTTCATGGCACTCCTTTCGACAATTTTTGTCTCTTCGTAGGTTGTCTTCTATTTCTGATTGGTTTGTTTTGTCCTTTCTCTCTTAGTTGTTTCAGGACCATCATCTTGTGCCAAATACTGTCGCCTTGTTTCGTGCGGCGCTGGCGGAGCTGCTGCAGCTTGCTTTCGGGGTGGATGTCACTTCTGCTCCGTTCGCAAGCTTTCTCAGGCTTTGTTTCACCTCTGGCTTGCTCATGCGCTGCCTGAGCCGTTCTGGTCATTGGACTGGGTTCTTCCTTTTCTCATCTCCTCGGTTTGTGGCGACCCTCTCGGTTCAGGACTTTTTCTAAGGTTCTTCTTCTTGTGGGCATTGGCCTCTGGGGGTCGGGTCGGGGAGCTTCATGCTCTCCTCCGGCACAGAGGTTTCTGCTCTTTTGGTCCTGATGGTCATTTCATTTGTCTGCAGCTTTCTCCTTCTTTTCTGGTAAAGAATCAGTCTGCTGCTTTCCGAAGGAGTCCTTGAATTGTTGATGCTTGATTGGTTCAGCCGGGGATGCATCATGTTTTGTGTCCAGTTGCGGCTCTTTGCTGGTATCTGCGCGCCGTGGCCTCCGTGGTAGGGGACACGCTTTGGGTGGACCCGGTTTCCCTTCTTCCCTGTTCCAAGGCGCGGTTCACCCAGGTCGTCCACAGGATTATTCGGTCCAGCCAGCCTGCAGTCTATCCCCATGTCCACGATGTTCGTAAGTTTGCGGCTTTGGCTGCTGTTTTTGGGAATATGTCCTGGGCTGACATTCGGGCACGGGCTTTTGGAGGTCAAACAGGTTCCTGGCTGCACGGTATCTTGTTAATGTTCCTGGGTCTTCTCGGGCGTGTGTAGCCTTGGGTCACAGGTTACAGCCATTTGTCTCAACTTTGAGTTGAGGAGCGAATGACAACCACCTCCCGAATAAGTCCCTTTTCTTTATCTTTGGTTAGGTAGCTCCAGGAAGTCGAAGGGGCTCTCCACAGAAAACCAGCGTTGAATGTAATGAAACGCTATTTTCTGGGTGAGACCCGGAGGCTCCCCGGCATCCCTCCCTCCCTCCGGTCGTCGGTTTTTCGTGTTTTTGATACTCAGCATCTGAACTGAGGAGAGTTGCCAGCATCACAATGGTTGTACTATTCAAGTCGCTTGTGCTGTCCCGTCTTGAGTTCTGCTCGATACTCTTTTTCCCCTTCAGAGTGAGAGAGATTGCTGAAATAGAGGGAATACAGAGAACATGTACACCATACACGATAGAGCATCTAAACTATTGGGATCATCTCAAAGGTCTCCAAATGTACTCCCTAGAAAGAAGACAAGAGATGTCAAATAATATACACATGGAAAATACTGGTGGGCCAGGTCCCAAATCTACACGGTAAAATAACAACATACTGGAGTGAATGATATAGAAGAAAATGCAGAATAAAACAGTGAAGAGCAGGAGTACCAAAGGCACAATCAGAGAACACTGTATAAACATCAGAGGTCCAAGGTTGTTCAACATACTCCGAGTCTAAGAAATATTACTGGAACATATGTGGACACCTTCATGAGAAAACTAGATAGTTTTCTTCCAGTACTGGATCAACCAGGCTGTGGTGGATATGTGGGCCTGCAGGCCACTCCAAGCAACAGCCTGTTGGACCAAACTCTCACAAGTCAAGCCTGGCCCCGGGAAAGGTTTGGGAGTAGAAGGACTCCTAGAACCCCATACAGGTACAGTCCAGAGTGCAGTGTTTTACAATATAATACAGTATAGCACAACATCTTACACTATAGTGCAACATTTTTCTAGTACAGGACAGTATCTTTTAGTATAGTACAATGTATTTCAGTATAATACAGTACAATATTTTTCAGTATTACAGTACTGTAAAATATCTTATTATCTTACAGTATAATACAGGTATAATATTTGGTTTTCAATTTATAATTTTTACAATATATAATGATGGTCCAATATAATAATAAACCTGTACTGAATATCTATTTTATTCTCTTTCAGAATAATGTAAAATATGAAATTGTAAAAGGTAATGAAGCCAAAGTGTTTGAAATGCGATCACACCATGGAACATCATCGCTACACTTCCGCCAACGTTTACATCAACCAGCTACATTTGATATTGAGATAACAGGGCGGCCGCTCGATTATTCCAACATCAGTGATCAAGCGCATAGTGAACTTGATGTTAACCTGAGGATCATTGTGACTTACTAAAATTAAACTTTAATTAGAATATATGTTGATGTAGAACCATCAAATTTTCTTATAATTAAAGAACTTACAAGCAACTAAGTATTTCACATTGAAATTGTGATTTTATATATATATATGAGACCTTAAGCTACTGGTTTAAATACTAGTGATACAGAGCCACACCCAGTGGGTGACAAGGACTTCAGTACTGTAATGACTTATCCAGTACTGTAATGACTTATCTCTGGTCTCTAAGTTTTTATCAGCATGTAAAACCAACAGCTTAAATTTAGTTTATTTCCAGAGATGACTGTGTTAAACTTATATTCCTTAAGTGAAAAAGGTACAGATACTGTTTTAGATAAAAAGTGTTGTTTTAAAATTTAGAAGAGAAAATTTTGGTGTAAAGATAAAAGCCCTTCATTGATATTAAACCCATAATAATTTACCTGACAAAGGGTAACTTTTTTTTCTAAACATTTTCCACATTTTAAAATATTTTCTCTTCTCCATGGTAGTATTTCCTGTACATTGGAGTTTAGTGTACTTAGTAGTCTTTAGTGTTTCTTCCTCAGTAGTACATTAGAGTTACGTGGAGCTGAAAATATTGTAGGCTATAGATGAATTAATATTGTAACGGTGATATTTTTGAAGGTGCTAATATTCACTTGGCTTAGCTTACTTATGTATTTACTGATAATCTAAGAGCTTCATTATTTTAACAATACTGAACAGATGTCTTGCAACTGGTGACAATATGCATCTGACTAATTTCCTCTTTATTTAATATCCATTCTTGAGATTTTTATAATAAACTTTATTATATTATTTATTTGTTATTCTTTTCTTAGTTTTCTTGAGACAATGTTGGAAATGCCAGTCTCTTGCACAGCTGTTCAGTGGGGGCTCTGACACCAGATCCTATCTTAAGATCACATTAACCATCACAATGTGAGCCGTGTCCATGACATTTGTGTAATTTTGAAAATTTGGTATTAGACAAATTTTTAAATGGCTAGTTACTGTGACATTAGGACAGATTTGGTGAAAGACCTCTTGATATGTGGTGTCCAACTTTCGAACAATCATAACGTCTAGTCCTGGAACATTGCATCTCTTGCAGGGTATGGGATAAAGTTATATTGACACTATCATTTATATTCTTGAGGTTAATTATAACCTTCATTTTTAGGAAAACCCCATCAGTTGCTTCCTGGTGCTTAAGCACATATTTGAGATCCACACTTCCAGAAGTCAGGATCAGACTGGCTCTCTTACAGAAGCGAGGATAGCTTTGGGATCAGAGATCAACTCAAAACTGAGGAAATCCCAGTAGAAAGTCAAATGAACCAAAACAAACCCCAGTTTAAAAAAGAAAGATTAAAAGAGGTAAACAGGGCAAATGATATTTTCCTGCAGGAGTAGAGCCTAGGGTTCCATCTCATAACCTACTTCATTCACTCTCCTGGTTCCATTAGGATTAGCTAGCCTCTTGAATTGATTCACCTTTCTTAGCATAGATAAATGGAATTATCTGTTCCTGGAACTTTGATCTCATGCAGGACCATTGCTTTGTTTTTTACCATTCATAATTATTTCCAGTTTACAATTTTGCTCCACCTTTGGTTGAAGGTTCTCTTTCCTGATTTGTTGGTTTGCATCTTCCTTGAGATCTTTTTTATGAGTCTTCTTCTTTGAGAATGTTAATGGCTCGTATTATTGCTGGGATTGTACGTCACGTTCATTAAGTAATGATAACTGCTCTGCTCTTGCTTAGTTTCTCTTTGTTTTGTAAATTACCTGACAAAGTATGAAAGCTATATTTATTTTCTTCTTACAGCTATATTCTCGGACATTCATTTTAGAACATTTTGATACTCAATTTTTTAGTTATTTTATAACCTAGAAAATAACTTTAAAAAGTAAAGATGAATACAAATGTTAGAACTCATGAATGAGACCCTTAGAGGCCTGGTACTTTTATGGTCGGGCATGTGGCAAGGGACCAGAATACTGTATTAAGATGCATTTCTGTGTTTTGGGGTTTGGATGGCCATCCCAGTTGCCTGTCTTTCTGCTCTTAGGTGCAGGGTTTTCCACCCTTGGATGTGTAACAAAGTCACAGACCTTTTCAACTGGCTGATTTTCACTCTTTGGTGCTAGCATTTTCCTGATTACAGCCTCCTGATTTTTTACCTTGCAGTACAGGCCTTTACATACCCTGGCTGCTGCCTGCATGGTGGTTATACTCTCTCTGCTTTCTATTGGAAAGATCCTGAGTGCTTGCTCTTATCCATTGATCCTTCTGATCTAGCCGTTGGTTGTCTTCCTCATCCAGTTTCTTTTTGTTCAGCCTCCCAGCCTCTCCCATTGAGTCAGACCGAGATATCTTTGACTTGTGGACCCACAGGCACCAGTGGCGGCAACCACTGGGATTGTTTCCCCCCTTTGGGATTTTAATGACAGCCTCAGAGGTAACTTATCCTTCTGCAATCCCCTTGGTATGGTGGATTTTTTTTTTGGGGGGGAGGGGGTAAAAAGCTTGGAGGTCTCTGTTCCTAGCACTCCACACTCCTCTTTTCCTATAGTAAACTCCAACCCTGGCCATTCCTCTTCTGTGATGGGGAAGCAGTGTCAAGATTTTGTGGTTGTCTGAAAAGGGTTTGTGTTTGCCCTGTGTCCCTCTTGGCGAACTTTGTTTCTAGGCTTGAAGGTTTATTTCTACTGTGGAGGTTTTTCTCTTGTATTTCCACTACATACAAGTTAGGTGGGTGCCTTACAGCCCTTCCTGCTTCCTGGGTGGGTTTCCATTACCAGACTGGAATAGCTTACTTTGAATCCCATGGAACCATAACTATGCATCTTGGATACAATATACTGCTTGCAGCAGCATTTTTATGCTTACTGTCCTTATCCCGAGAGTCGTGGTGCTTGTGGCTTAAGAGGCACAACAAATTTGCTTCAGCCCTTAGAAGTTTTATTTGACATGCTTGTTTTATTTTCTCAATACATGTTTTTTTGCAAGGCGAGGTATTTTCCTATGGTTTATTGGCCTTTCAGCTCTACTGCTTGTGGCTTCTAGTTGTGTGACCTGGGGCCTCTAGTTAAGTACCTGGGAGCACCTAATTGTGTGCCCTGGGACTCTAGCCACTGTGCCTGGGCACTCCTATTTGTCTTTTGTGGGCATGGGGGTGAAACTAAGGATGGTTTTAACAATTTTATTTAAATAAAAAGGAAGAAGAAAATGTTTATCATTCATGTTGCATGTGGCAATAGAGATATAATTTTTTAAATCTAATTACTGTACCTACTCACAATTAAAATTATTATATAGTGTTATAACAAATATTTATTACCTAAAACAGATAAGATAAAAATGGCTTGGTAAATGAGAAACACACACTGCAACCAACCAGTACTCTGTGTAGGCACACACTGAAGAATGAAGCCACCCAAGTTGGCTTGTCACATGTGCCAGCATCTGACAGTGGCAAGCCACAACCTACCACAACATTACAGTCTATAAAACATTCTTTATTGTTTACATAACAACATGTTGCCACTAAAATATATATTCAATTTGTATTGCATGTTTTTGTGATCCTATTCAGGTGAAGTGGATGAATTCCACAACTGGGGTTTTCTAAGTTTTATGCCAATCTCTGATCCCCAAACTTCTGTCATCACCTTGAAAGGTGTTCCACATTTTTGACACATTTGGGTGTCCAGCAAACCACTGATGCTTCTCTGGCACTTGGAAGATCAGTGTGGGTTTTGGAAGCCTTGTACATTCCTACAGCATAGTAGTTGACGTGTTTAAGCACCAAGCTACTAAAGGCCTAGCAGACAATGGCATTTCATTACATTTAATGCAATGCTTTTTTTAAGTTAATAGTTTTACTTTTTATTTTAGTATTCCTGTCTGCAATTATGGCCTGTGTCATGGTTTCTCTGGAGTGATTCTCCAAATGATGATTTTCTAAAGTTTAGGCATTCATTTACTGTATACATATAAGTAATTTAAATTCCTTGATATGTATTGTATAGGCATTTATTTTGACTTTGAAGCATCCATAGATTGGGAGATGCAGTGTCCAGTTCGGTCTCAGCATTGTTCATCCTCACTGCCAAAGGACATCACTTGTTCATATTAAAAACTCACCTTAGAATTAAGAATTAAATTCACAATCTTTATATAGAGAAGCTTATATAATGAGAGGCTGCATCATGCTTTTATAAATCTTACAAAACTATTTTAGTTTGTATTAGGATCATGTTTACTATCATCATAGTATGAAAAAGAGTCACCTCCAAAAAAATATATATACAAAATTTATAATTTTACTGGTCTTTTTACATTATATGTTACAGAAATAGTTGCAAACAAAAAAAAAAACATTTACAACAATTTGAAAATATATTGAAATTGATTATAAGATAAATGAGTAATTCAGCCGATCTGATATTTCTCCTGATTAAAGCAGAAAAGCAGCCAGACTCCAATAAAGTTAGTGAAGTAAATGCTTATTGAAAATTATGCACTCATTCCATTCAACATCAACTAATAATTTTGTTTGTATATTCATCGGAGTTGTATATGTTTCTTGCCATATTTCAAAGCAAGATGGTCTAAGCACTATCTTCCCTGGACACTGTGCCAAATGTCAACATGTGAGACTTCAAATCTAACAGCAGAGTGCTTAAAACTTGTTGGACAGGAAAAGCTAGGGAAGGCATTGCTATTTAATGGGACAAAAACAAACATAAATATAAAATGAGGGTAAGAAATCCACAACGAAAAGAGTGAGGAAGAGAAAACCAAGAAGGAATAGCAATATCTAAGATTGTGTAGTTTGAGACTGTGATATACCACTGCATGGGGCTGCTGTGTGAATGTGGGAGAATGGAGGTCATCAGGACAAAAGTTCCTTTTGGCAAATTAAAAAGTTTTCCTGGGATTGGCTTCTCTGGAAGACTGCATGCTTATTCCACATGTTTGGTCAATATTAATTTCATATACTGAATTATATGATTATTTCTTGCACTAAAAATACTATTCTGTTGATGCAAATAAACTTCACATTCATCTCATCATGTGAACATTGCATGTTTCATGTGACAATATCCAGTACTGTACTCTTTGTTACCATAGGCAGTCCCTTCATTTCATATAGAATAAATCATTCCATATTCTTATTACTGTAATAATTAAATACATCAAACAAAAAAACTTTCTTTATATAGCTACTTCTTCACTCTGTTCAATGGTGCTTTTATACCCTACAGCAAGCAGTTAATTCACTCTATATGATAAATTAACACATTCCATATACTAATGCATCACTCATGAAAATTAATTCATAACATGCAAGAAATTAAATTCCTTTTCTTAAAATGTGTAAATCCCTGAAATTGCTGAAATAAAATTATTTGTAATTGCCAATATTTAGCTCTCATATACACATTTCATTTGTGATATCATTGTACAGCATTCTCATTCAAACTATTTTGATGAAAAATGGTTAAGTAAAACTAAAAGTAATTCAAATGCTGGTAAAGTATGTGAATTACAAAAACATTTTTAAATTTGTTACAAATATTTTGTCGCTTTGTCGGGCTATCATATTTATTTCATCTGCTCAAAGAAGTGTCAAGATACCTGTAATATGGACTTGTGTCATGCATAATGTTTTACTATTGATATGAATTTGTACATCTCTTCTGTGAAATGCATTTTGGTCTTTAAAAGTTGTGAAAATTATATTACACATATATATATATATATATTGTATATATATTACAACAATTTGTGTTTGGTCTAAGGTAAGAAAATATTACTTAAAGAGCCGGGTCAAAATAAGTTGGTTTTATTAAAATATTTGCTGAACAAGTTTTTATATCGATTAAAATGCAGTCACAAAAATATATACATAAATGTAACTGAACTGTGAGCCAAATGGAGCTAAATCTAGATTTCTGTATTAATATTCTCTCTTCACGCCACTGATTATTAGCTTTTGAATCTCAAGTATGTACTCAAAGATATAGACATATAAACTGTTTGAGAAACTAAAATCCTAAGTTAAATATTAGCTTATCATTTGTGGTCAACAACTCATTCTTGCCCTAATTAAATATTATTCACCATTTCATCTGTGTTCCAAATACTTGTGTGCTTCTGGAACTATCATCCAGGCCATTTTTGCTGATCTCGTAACATCACATCTGTCGCCACCGCTGCCAGTTACATCTTATTGCATAGCTCACAATGCTTGTAAAACATTGGTTTCATAATAAATATCACCAAAGAATTCTATCTTTTAATTCCTTGACAAACTTTATACTGAAGTTTTATGTAACAAGTTACTGATAGCCCTAGTTGCCTATATCTGATGCATCTCGTCCAAATTCCCCTTTGATGTCACTTAGACCTCTCTAGGAGTTCTGCCTCGTAAATAACTTTTGCAGAGCAGATCCCATGCAGCTACATCTAAAATGTTTATACTCTTTCCTTTTTTAATATTTTCCCAGTTAATTTTGGGAATACTGTATAACTATAAATATGGTGTCAAAAAGTTCACAAATAAATTGTCTAGAGTATAGATGCAAAACAAAATGTTTTGGTAATAGATTATTTATGGCAGTTCTGAAAATATGTATGTTTATGATATTCCTCATATTTGTTGTAATTTCAACCTAAATTAAAATTAAAATATTGAATTACAGTACAATATATGCACTGATCATTCCATAAATAAAAAAACGTAACTTCCATACTTTTCTGGCGGGTAATATGAGAGATAGATACCCGGAAGAGTTGATCTCTGGATGGTCCCCTGATATGCTATTTCCACACCTATGCTTCTTCACTCCCACAAAAAAAAAAATAAAAAAAATATGGAATTACTGTATGGGATAGATGATTTTAGCATTATCGGAATGTTACTGTTGAAGCAGGGATGTTGCATTTTAGTGTCATCAGATGGCAGATTTAGTGTCATCGCCTACATGATTAATTTAATAAAATTAATTAATAAAAAAAATAATTAATTAAAAAAATAATTAATTAAAAAAAATATTATTAATACCAATTGTCAGGGACAAAAAGCCTGTATTTAAGTTGATCAAGTTCCACACCTCCCTCCCTAGGACAACTAAAAACCTCCAAGATGGAACCCTCAACAATTGTCTTACTCCTGGGGTCCCTATTTTACTGCCAGGTGAACAGAGCCATCAAGTGTAAAAGGAAAAGTGTCAAAACATTTATGTTCTGCCAAGGGATTGAACCAGGGTTCCTCAGTTGTAATTACCCAATTGCAGTTACAGGATGAGAGGTATGCTTGTGGTGTCCCATCTTCCCAGTACTGTCATATAACACTTTGAAACTACTGACAGTCTTGGCCTCCACCACCATTTCACTTAACTTGTTCCAATTGTCTACTATGTTTACAAAAATGAACTTTCTAATGTTATTTTGGCAGCTTTCTTTCCTAAGTTTGAACCTATGTCCTCTTCTTCTTAAAGTTACCATTTAAAAAAAAAAATCTGTAAATTTTATTGATTCCTATTACTATTTTGTACAGGGTGATCATGTGTCACATGAATTATATCACCTCTTTTTCTGCGGTTGGAAGAAAACGCTCACAGAGTGGGGGACTTATTTTATTATAATAATAATAATTAATTATTTAAATACAAATAATTAATAATAAGTCATAATTAATGATTAAATAATTGGTAATCCTTAAATGAAGACGCATAATAGCTCATTATAACGAATAAATAGATAATTAAAGTGGAATTAATTATAATGATTAGTGAATAACCATAAATTATTATACAGAAATAAAATTAATGGATAGCCGTTATAATGATAATGTATTAAATCAAATACAGTGAAGAGACATCTCTAATTGAAAGTTGCATGATTGAATTTACGGTAATTCCAATTCTTGGTATTCTTGGCTTATCACTTTGGGGGTTCTGTCGGAGCACCCCCAATCCCGTGAGGGCCAGCGGCGCAGAACCCCCACCCCCGAAGGGCGAGCGGAAGCTGGCTGCTATAAGTAGGAACATGACTTCTCGCTACCGTGGTCGTAAGCGTGCCCGTATGCCCGGAGAGGCCATTAAAAAACAATCAGGTTTTCCTGACTGAAAAAGGTACCATTCCGGGTCTACTAGGCAGATATGCTGCTAACTGACGCAGCTCGCTTGGTGGGCCGACGGAGTGCCATCTTGACGAGCCGTGGAGCAGAGGCGGGATGGCCCACCGACTGTGCCCTGGGAGGAGTACCTACTGCCGGGTTTGTACTCCATGCAGGGAGCGCTTTCCACCATGGCGAATGACTGGTCGATCCCGAGTATATCTTCGTCGTAGTAGCCCGCCCTCACAGAGACCAGTCCTGGAAGACTGGCCCCAGGGCGGGTGTGGGAATGTGAACGCTATCCACTCCGAGGCCGACTCCCCAGGGTCGACCCCGTGTTGGTCATTGTCGCTGTGGTGAGCCCCACGGGTGTGGGTGGAGTGGAGGTGTCAGCTTAGAAGCGTGTCGGTCGCCTCCCAGGATACCTCGCACGGTGGACATGCGAGCCGTGGTCCACCTTTCGGGTCCCACCGCGCGTTCCTCGATCATCACAGGTTTCCTCATCATCGTTCTATTGTGGATCTGGAAGTATTAAAGCAGTAAGGGTGGGCAGAAGCTGGTGTGCAGAGGTAACGTGAGAAGCAAAGGCACAGGTGCGTGGGACCCGCATCAAAGTGTTAAGCGCCGGTCCCCAAGTGTCCCGCTGTCCGCAGCTAATCCTTTGCCCAGTCTACGTGCTAGTAAGAGTAAGGAACCCCTTCTCCTTAATCCTTCTCCCGCTGGCCCTCGCGGGATTGGGGGTGCTCCGCCGGAACCCCCAAAGTGATAAGCCTGCAGATAGCTAAGAAATATTCCCATGAATTGTAATTAGTCTAATTAATGCAACTTTCATTTACTACCTATGGATGTAGTTATTAATTGTAATTGTTCTCTACTTTATCATTAAGGATTATTCATTATAATTATTTCTTAATACTTTATTGTTATGCACTAGTCAATAATTATTTATCATTCATCCTAATTAGCTATTTGATTCATTAAAAATAATTGCTTATCATTATACTATTTGTTATTATTATTATTTATTATATAATAATAATTTTATTTATTAATTTATATAATAAATTAATTTATTATATATTAATTTGTTATATATTAATTTATTATTTACCATTATAAAATAAACAAGTCCCCAATCTGAGTACGTTTTCTTCCAACCTCAGAAAAGTGTACTGCTGGCAACTTAGGCTGCGAGAGTGGGGATAACTGTGTAACGATTCTATTGTTACGTAAAGTATGGTGACAAATAAACACAGACACTAAGATACTATATATATATTTGGTCGAATATACAGAAGTACACAGGTGATACTTTGGTGTGAGTTGAGCGCACTGAGCGTCGGTACAGTATCTCGCAAGTGTCTGCTCTAGACCACACTTGAAAGTAGACTAGTTAATGTTTGCTATTCTGCTGCTTATATGCTCGGGCAACACCTCACCGTGTTGCCCGGGCAACAACTCACCTCATTCATCTCCAAAGGTTGACAGGAATATTAACAATGCATTTGGAGCGAGTATATTATTAGGATAATCTACTCGCTACAGAACTCCCCCTCCCAGGGGATGAAAGGAAAAATACTTGATCAAGGAACTTAGCTGGTCGGTGAATTGTACGCCCTGCTCGCGTTACATAACCATCAAAGTTAACTTCCTCCTCTTCGCTGATGTCATCTAACTGGGGTCGTAGGGTGGGAGGTCGCACAGGATCGTCCGTTGTCGTAGGTGGCGGTGCTGCTGGTAACTGTGGTCGAAAAGTGAACTGCGTAGTCGGCGGATGTGTCTCTGGATTTAGCAGTGTCGCAGACGTTGAGACGAAGCCTGGAGCAGAGCAGAGAGCTGAGTGAGGCCGGAGTCGTGGAGCTCTATGTGGGAGAGCGTGGCGGCTCGATGCGGTCGTAGTCTGCTGTCTGCTCTGTGTCGAAGCTGTAGCGTCTTGGGTTGATTAGGACTGTACACGCCGAGTACTACATTGTTGACTGTGGAAATTGTAGTCTGGTACCAAAAGATGTAGGCAGTGTGTGGACAAGCTCGGTGTAGCAGGAGAGAAGAATGTGCATAATTGTTGCGTCCTTGGGTCGCTGGTGGAACATTTAGATCCGGGGCGGATGGGCTCGGGCACCAGGACATTAGGAGGTAATGTAGGCACGTAGTTAGGACAACGAGGTAATCACATCTAGAGCTGAATTGTCCTGAAGGCGACGAAGTGTCGGAAACGCAAGCTGTAAGTCCTGTACTGCGCAAAGGGCTTGAGTCGGCCGAGTATCAAAATGCAGTGAACGTGTAGATGAATCTGATGACAGAGCAGCTGTCGTGGGCGTAGGACAAGCAGTGCCCTGGCAGCGACGGAGAGTCGGCAGGACAAGCTGTAGATCCAACATGATGTAATCATTGATGAGGCTGTCAGATGAGTGAGTAACGATCGTGGAGCAGCAAGCCGTAGTAGATGAAAATGCAGAGATGGACGCGATGAAAATCATAGCTGTGGCGAGGGTGTTGGCAGTGTTCCATCACAGCAAACAGTAGCAGTAGAGGTCCAGTGAGAGTCCATGTTGTAGTCCATCGTGGCTGGGTATCGTCGAAACTCTCTGGGGTCACCAATGTAACGGTTCTATTGTTACGTAAAGTATGGTGACAAATAAACACAGACACTAAGATACTATATATATATTTGGTCGAATATCGTCCGTCGTCGTAGGATCAGGTTGTGATGCGACACCTGTTGCGTAATATATAGGCATAGAGAAAAGGTATTAGATTCTTGATTAAAGATTCTTAGTAACTGAAGTCTCAGCTGCTGGTCCAACGGTTGGCAGCTGGGTTAATAATAATTAATGGAGAGTAATAATAATGAAGAATAATAATCATGGAGACAATAATAAAGGAATAATTGATAGTATTGTTCCGAATCGAGTCTTCGGAACCGAAGTAATTCTTGATCTTAATAAAGATAATATAAGCATAAAGAAAACTTAACCTTTTCTTAAAGTAAAGATTCTTAGTAACTGAAGCCTCAGCTGCTGGATCATCGGCTGGGCCGCGCCAGCCGGAACTTCAGCAGCTGGGTGAATAATTAATTATAAAGAATAAATAATAGAGAATAATAACAATGAAGAATAACAATAGTGAGGGCGACGAACCAGCCAGTGATTAACAATCGCTTGTGCACT